TTACTTACATTATCCCAGCACCTAGCATGGTTCTTGGTATGTAACAAGCACTCAGTATGTACTGTTGAATCATGTGAATAAATGAATGAAGGCATAGTTCCTGCTCTCAAGGAAGTCCCTGGAAGTCCCAGTCTGGTGGGAAGATAACAATTGCAATTTAAAATGAGAGGTGTTCTCTGTTAGACATATAGCTACAACTTTTAAAAGGGATATATTGATCTATTAACTTTCCAAACCTAGAAACCACCACTTTAAGTCATGAGGAATTTTGAGAGGGAGAGTGATATGATCAGATATGTACTTTGTAAATTTTCCTCTGTCACCAGGGTGGAAGATGGAGTATACCAAACTAAGCTCAGACAGGGGTATAAATAAGAGATTATTTCAATACTCTTAATGAGAGACGAGGACCTGAATTTATTTAGAAGCCATAAGGAAGAAAGAATAGGTAAGAATTAAAAGATACTAAAAGTGGTAGAATTTATTGGGTTTATGATAGATTTGATATGGGTGAAGGAGAGGATTTAGGTGGCTGGGTGATGCCATTAATGAGAGTTAGTACTCTAGGAAGTAGAACTAACTTTTGGGATAAAGAGATTGAGTTACATTTGGGCATATGATTTTATAAAGTACCATAGTATTATAGCTTTTTTTTTTTAACGCCTAAAGCTATGAGGACTTCTTGAAACATTATCTTCTCTTGATTTCAGAATACCACATCTCTGTTTTCCTCCTATTTCACTGACTACTACTCAGTGATCAATGCTGGCTCCTGCATCTGACCTCCAAATTTTGGCAAATCCCAGAAATTAGTCCTGGGTTCTTTTGGTTGTCTCCTTTACTTTATCCAGGTGATTTCTCCCAGTCTTAGTTCTTTAAATACCTTCTATATACTGATGACCTTTCCCAACCTCTCTCCTGAACTCCCCAGACAGACTAGCAGACCCAATTGCTTTACTAGACATTGCTACTTAAATATCCAAAAGACATCTGAAATATAAGTCCAACAACAGAACTATTGATTCTCTTCCCTCCCAAGCCTGTTTATCCCATAGTGTTCCTCATCATGATAAATGGTAATAAATCTACTCAGCTGCATGAATAAATACGTCTAAAGTATGGATAAATTTAATACCATTAACTACATCTCAGAGGATAAATGTCCTAAGAATTATAAGCACAGAAAAGTCAGAGTTTCATTGATTTTTTTATTGTCTTTTTTAATAATTGTTGATGCTATTACAGATGTTTCCATTGTCTCCCCATCCTCACCACCCCTGCTTTGCACACCTCCACCTTGTTCTGCCCCTCTTCCCTCTGGCCATCACCACATTGTTGTCTGTGTCTATGAGTTATGCACATATGTTCTTTGGCTCATCCCTTCACTTTTTTTCATGCAGTCCTCTCCTCCAACCTCCCCTCTGACAGCTGTCAATCTGTTCCATGTATCCATGCCTCTGTTTCCATTTTGCTTATTATTTTATTCATTAGGTTCCACATATAAGTGAGATCATGTGATATTTGTTTTTCTTTGGCTGGCTTAATTCACTTAGCATAATAATCTCCAGAATCTGGAGATTGTTTTTTATTGTCTTTTTTAAAAAGAATTTTTATTTTTAATAATAGTTGACATACAATATTATATTAGTTTCAGGTGTACAACATAGTGATTAGACATTTATATAACTTACAAAGTGATCAGTCTGGTACCCAGCTGTTTTCAATTGTCTTTTTATTTCTACTCCAGTCTTTGTTATTTCCTCCCTTCTACTAACTTCAGGCTTCATTTGTTCCTTTTATAATTCCTTGATATGTTAAGTTAGGTTGTTTTGAGATTTTTCTTGTTTGTTAATGCAGGCATTTATCATAATGAACTGCCCTCTTAGAACTGCTTTTGCTGCACCCTATAAGTTTCAGTATGTTGTATTTCCATTTTCCTTTGTCTCAAAGTAGAGTGGTCCCCAGTACTTGTTAATTTGTTCCAATACTCATGATGCGTGCCCAAAGCAACGAGTACTGAATGATAAAGCATTTTCTCTTGTGGGGTAGCTTTGTGACTCATACAATTTCTTACAAGTGCAACAAGTCCCAAGTAAGTGGTTAGTGCTGAAACACTTTTTTCTTGTCAAAATGTGACAAGTACAGGGTTTGACAAGTTCTGAAACCAACAAGTACTGAGGTATAACTGTATTTTTTTTATCTTTATTTTTTTCTCCTTTGACCTATTGGTTGTTCAGTAGTATGTTGTTTAATATCCACATACATGTGAATTTTCCAGTTTTCTTCTTGTAATTGATTTCTAGTTTCATACTATTTTGTTTGGAAAAGATGTGTGATCTGTTTTAAATCTTATTAAATTTATTAAGACTAGTTTTGTGGCATAACATGTAACCTTTCCTGGAAAATGTTCCATGTGCACTTGAGAAGAATGTGTATTCTGTTGTGTTTGGATCAAATATTCTGTATATACCTGTTAAGTCCAGCTGGTGTAATATGTTGTTTAAAGCTGATGTTTCCTTACTGATTTGACACAGGAAAGAGTTTGTAGCAGTTTGTGAGCAAGGGGGAAAGAGGTAGGAGATGATGATGTAAAGTTGGCCAGATAAGTAGCTCATGGTCTAGAGTTTAGATTTTTATAACTTTTATAGGAAGCCATTGGATTTTTAAATATAAGTCTGTGATATGCTCTGAGTTATGTTTTTTGTTGTTTTTCTTTAAAGGAGAAACTAGCCCTGACTGGTATGGCTCAGTTAGCTGGGCATCATTCCACAAAGCAAAAGGTTGCTAGTTCGATTCTGGTCAGGGCACATGTCTGGGTTGTGGTTTCATCCCCTGGTCAGGGCATATATGAAAAGCAACCAATCAATGTATCTCATGTTGATGTTTCTCTCCCTCTCTCCCCCCACCTCTAAAAAAAAATAAATAAAATCTTTTTAAAAATAAAAAAGTTAAGAAAAAACATAGCAGCTGTGTCAAGAATTATTTAAGGGGTCAAGATTAGTAGTAAGGAGGTGAGACAAGAAATCATGGTGACTTGGGCAAGAGTAGTAGAGTGGGGACATGAGATGTCTTACACAGAACCAACAGCACTTGATGATGGATTGAATGTAAGGAAGAGGAAGGACAGGAAAGAAAGAAATCAAGGTTGACTTCCAGGTATCTGTCCACATGTGTGCCTATATGTACTACAGTTTGTTTAGTCTCCTACATTTGAACAATGTATATAATTTTCAGTATTTTGCAATAAAAATTAATGCTGCAATGAAATTGTATTGATTCTTCCATCATACATAATGATAATTCCAACATTGATCAAAGATTTAACTATAAGACAATGAAACTATGCAGGCACTAGAAGAAAAGATGAGTACATTCCTCTTTAATATGGGTGTAGAGAAGAGCTTTCTAACTATTACTGTTCAATCATTTAAGTCTTAAGTTAAAGTCTTCTTTAAAGAGGCTTTCTCTGGTCCAACAATTTAATGTCTTATTTCCCACCCTCCCCTGAGTTACTCTCTATACATTTCTCTCTTTTAATTTCTTCATCGTATTTATCAGTATAAGAAAAATTTTCTTCCTTTATTCTTTGTTCCCTCCTCTCCATTTCTTTTTTCTTTTTCCTCCCTCTCTCGTTTATTTATGTTTCTTAGCCTCCAGACTACAGGTTTCATCAAAGAAGGACTTTTATCCTTTTTATTTACTTCTATATCCCAAGTAACCTGGAACAGTGCTACAGCTCTGGCATGTCACATAAATACTCTGTGAATATGAATATGAATATACCCATTATCTATCTATTTGTCATCTATCTATGATATTAACTAAAGTGATCAGGTTATTTTTCATAATAAAACAGTTTATTAAATACTATGTTAAAAAGTGGTCAAATATAGAATGTTTGAGAAGGAATGGACATTTCCCCCCAAATAATAGGGAAGGAAAAAATAGCATATGCTTTATATTGCTGTTTTGTTCAACTTTTTCATTTTGTAGGCATTTTGGAGTAATAAGTAGACTGGTGGGTGGGTAAAGTTCTAGAAAGCAGTAGGAGGACCAAGAAAGAGATGGAGTAATGAACTAAATAATGTGAAAATAATGGGATGGACATAATTTAATAAAAATTAGCATAAATTACATGCCAATACTCAATCCTTGATTTTTCTGGGCTAATGGGAGGGAAGAGAAGTATTAAAGCAAGAAGGTAATTTTGAAAAATTATATTTGTTTTGGAATTCAGCCAGAGGTACATGAACCACAGATATTAAATCACCCCTCACAGGACTAAGTTTATTTGCAGCAGCTCAGGCAGGACCATAAATGAAGTGAGTATAGCAAGGCTACCCTGGTATTGTCCTGCTCTCAATCTCCACAGCTTGCTTTACACACTCTGCTCAGTATTTGTCATTAATATAGGGTCTGGTAAAAGTAAGTAGTAGACTGGAACTTTTCTTCAGAATAGATAAATTCTCATTCAGTATGAAACCTCTGTTCCCATACTTTTGCCTTCCTATCTATTTACCATCTTCAACTCTAAACAAACCTTATCCATCCTTCTAGTCAGCCCAAGTTCCAACTTCCGTGCAGATTTTCACAAAAGCTCAAGTCCAGATGACTGAATTATACTGAAACTTCTGTGACAGTCATGTTTCATTGGTTAGTAATTATTGCATGAACTTTTGCCTCCTTACTAGGATTATGAGCTCCTACAGGTTATGAAATATGCACATTTATTTTTGAAATCTAAAGCACTCCCAACCCAGTTCTGGGCCAGTGGAAGGTGTTTAAAGTGAATAAAAATGGGCTATTTGGTCTCTAGGCACATGTAATTGCACAAAGTGAGAACCTATTTGAGCCCTCTAGGATGAATCTGGTTTTGGTCTTTCTCCATATAAAGCATTAATGACATTTTATGTTTTATTTCTGCCATTAATTTTTAAAATTGTTCTAGTACAGTCAGAAAATTATGGTACATTTACACAATGGAATATTATGCAGCAGAAACAAAGAAGGTGCTTCTACCCTTGGCAACAGCATGGGTAGATCTGGAAAGCATTATGCTAAGTGAAATAAGCCAGGCAGTGAAGGACAAATACCATATGATCTCACCTATAAGTGGAATCTGTGATTAATTTTTAAAGTGCTGGGAGAATCATTTTTGGTTTGCATGTGAAATCATGTACTGCATTTCACAGTGAAAACACATGTGAGTCATTTTTGTTATGAATAATTTAGGACACTCAAGGATATTCTATTTCTGGGTAAAAGAGTTTAAAATAGGATTTTAGTATGCATGTGTGATACATATTTAACAACAGAAAAGATTTTGAAAGATTGCCTTTGTAGTAAATTCAGTCATTCAAATAGTTTTCTCTCAAGACCCAAAAATGCTAGGGCATTGCCAGCTTTGAGTTTATCCTGAAAAAGAAAAGAAAAGGCTTTATTTTAGTGCATTACTTAATGGTTGTTTTTAAGTACTTTATTGAGTGCCTTTATAAGGTTTTTAAAAAATCAGTTCCCCAATGTGAGAGAAAAATATTAGCAGGTTAAACAATGACTCTCTTACCATACCCATCTTGACCTACTTTTTGCCCCACTATTTGAAATCTATGTTTGAAACTTGGTAGTAGGAGGATAGGAATTATAAGGTTGAGAGTCCTCTTAGGAAAATACTCTTTAAAACTTCTACAGGACTCTCCATTGGATTTTAAGGACTCACTGGAGGCAAAACAGAAAAAGTACAGTTTAGGACTGTGGGATAAGAGAGCTAGCAAAAGTACTCAAGTCATGAACCCGCCCCCCAGCTTCTAGGCACAGGTATTGTTTTTTTGCATGCCCTCCCCTCCACCACCTGCAACAAGGTAAACTCTTTCAGGGAAAGAAAAATGATACAGATGAAGAGTTTCAGAATATTGTACAAATATGTACACTTATCTATTTCACATGAGAAAAGGACTGCCAATTTATTTTTACCTTCTCCCCACCTATAAACTAGATCAATTCCACAGAAAGAACTCCTGTGATTTGAGAGGTAACTTTGTGATACCCTAATTGATATATGTCCAGTATGCAAAGGTCAGGCATTTAGCTGAGGATGGAAGGAAACATGTATGGGGTTGTGTAACATCCATACCATTAATGTATATCTATATATCATGATCACTTCAGAGCTCAAAATTCAAAATTATAAAATGGATGCTATCTTCCTAGAGGTAGCAATCTTTTTTTATGTAATAGAATCTGTTTTTATTTATTTACTTTGAAACAGTTTTATTGAGATATAGTTCACTTACCACACAATTTACTCTTTAAAGTGTATAATTTAATGATATGTAGTATATTCACAGAGCTGTGCAGCCATCAGTTTTTTGTCTGTTATTCCAGAGATATTTCATGCACATATAGGCAAATACTTATATTTAGGTATATAGATAGTCTTTTCCCACAATTAGATAAATACTATACACAAATGGAAATATACAGGTTGTTTGGCACCTTGTTTTTTAAACTTAGTATATCTTGGAAATTGATTTATAGTGTTCTTATGGCTGTATAGATTCCATTGTATGTATATATTATTACTTATGTAACTATTCCCCTGTAGATTGTTTTCAGTCTTTTATTACAGTGTTGCAATGTCTGTAATAAAATGTCATTTTTAATTTGTGACAGTATAAAATTTTATACAAGTTATTTTAAAATTTGAACGTGATAGCACATAAAATTAAATGATAAAAGACATAAGGTAATTATTATTCTATTGAACCCTTAATTAGGATGCTTGGGGAGGTCTGGTTTCAGTTTAATTTATATTAATTTCATAGAAAGTTTCTTATTTTCAACCTCTGTTGTAAAAAAAAATAAAAGATTTTATTATGCCTTCCTACTTTAATAAGAAAATATTTAACGATTCAAGACTTTAAGTGCCTTAAGGTGGGTAAGTGCCAAAGGGGAAACTTCCTGTATAAAGCAGTCTTGAGGTTTCCCATCTAATAACTTGCAACCAGTAAACATCATAATGGATTTTTCTTGGCATCATGTACTTCAAGCCTACTGAAAAGATTTGATGAGCTTAATCCTTAATGATTATATCAGAGAATTAGAGACCAAGGGAACCTTTGGATTCTAGTTTAGAAGAAAGCCAAGAATTATATAAAAGTATTATGACTAAGACTTTTGTAAGATTTGTTAAGAGTTTATATATCCTCATTTCTTTTTCCTGTGGCCATCCTTGACCCCTGATAATGATTGGTGATGAAGCCCTCAGGAAGAACTTGTTTTGTTGGGAGGTGGGTGTGGGATGGGAAAGGTTTGGCAAGGGAGAGGGAATCTGAGGACAGTGCATCTCATTATCTCATTTTAACTCTTCTTGGTTCAGGAGCCTAAGGGGTAGAACAGGCAGTGGCAGCATTATGACACATTTACACACCCTAAAAGTCAAATGCCAAAAGAAAAAAATCTAGTTATTTATCTAGTTATTTGAGGTCCTTGGGTCCTTGTTAGTCAAGACTTTAGTATCAATATTCAAATTACTAGAATGATTACAATTTTTGAGATCAGTAGATTTGAAAGACATGTTAAATGAAAAATTTAGACATTTTTCTTATTCATCTAACATGTAAACATAAATATATTACTATGATATGTTTCTTGGCAGTTTTCTTCCTTGCCTTCATGAATTTAGTTGTACTAGGGTGACTTTCAGCTTAACATTTTTTTGCCCTTTACTAGTTCAACTATTTCTGGTGATCTAGTAACAATTCTAGGACTGTTCAATGTAATGATTCCCTTGTTCTTTGTTATCACACATGAGTGCTCTGAAACCAAACACGATTAGAGCAGGAAAACAGGAAGAAATCCATGAAGTAAAAGGCATATACCTTTGTTTCTGCATCAAATTCTTCCATGGATTCTATCAATTTTCCAGGTTCTAGCTCACCTAGTGGAAAGGGGTAATCAGTCCCCAAGATGACTTTATCCTGAAAAAAGGAAATATATTTTTATCTATAATTTTTAGGATATCAGAGAACCTCCTGTAACTATATTTAATTACCACAAGCACTATATGGTAAGATATCAAATTTCTCCCTGATTAATAGAAACACTGGTCTAAAATTTTAATAATTTAATGGATTCAAAACTTATTTTGATATTTTCTCCAGCAGGTGTCACTGTGAGGTCTTCTAGAGTTGCAAATCAACCCCCATCTTTCCCCAACCTCTTTTTTTTTTTTCAGTAACTGAAATACCATTCAAATATAAGAAGCAGGCATTTATTTAATAAAACATGCTGATGTCTTCAGATGAAATTAAGGATTTTGTATTTCTTAGAATGATACATTGCAATTGATCCCACAATTTTTGAAAATATACTAGAGTTGAAAGGAAAATTTTTTAAAAAAACCAATAAAACAATTGGATGAAAAGAAAACAACCCCCAGACAATTCCTATCTCTATAAATTGGATCGTTGTCTGTTTTTTGAATGATGTAGCTTCAAATTTCCATCTGACACTCTGTCTGTCAAAGCAAGTGGGCTTGACCATCTACAGCAGTATATAAAGCAGTATGTCAGGCAATGTTCTGTAATCTAGATTACCCTGGTCAACAAAAGAGAAATGGCCCATGTCCTCAGGGATTTATAATATAGTAAAAAGGACAATAAATCAATAATGACAGTTTATCAAAATAAAATATAAAAAACACATTTTCAACCAGAAATTTAACTTCTAGAAAGATATTCTACTAGTATGCATGTAATAGAAATCTATAAAGAAAATTAATAATAACATTATTTGTAGCAGCAGAATACTAGTAAACTAAATTATAGCAAATCCAAAACCCCAAGGGAATCAGGAATATTTACATATGGTGAAATAGAATAATAACCAAGTTATATTGTAAAGAGGAATGTTATTGAAGTTTCATTGTAAAGAGAGGAAAAATGTCTAGGACAACGTGTCTGCTATGATGATATTTCTGTTTTTAACAAGAGACCTATAGATATATGAATACATGTTTCTATGCATACAGTCTATTTTAGGAATGAGACCAAAGAATAAATAACATTATTTGTCTCCAGGAAAGAAGACTAGGATTTGGGGGTGCAGCCCACTTCTTTTTTGAGGTATATATCACATACTATAAAATTCACCTTTTTAAAGTGTACAATTCAGTGGGCTTTAGTATATTCATTATTTTTTTGTAATCATTCCCACTGTCTAATTCCAGAATATTTTTATCACTCCCAAAGTTAGCCCATTCCCATTAGCAGGCAATCCCCATTACCTCCTCCCTCCAGGCCCTGGAAAGCACTTATTTGTCTACTGTGTGTATAGAATTGCCTATTCTGGACATTTCATAAAAATGAAATGTATGAAATGTAATATGTTACCTTCTTTCATTCAGGCTGAATAATGTTTCAAAGTATAGCTAACACAAATGGACATTTAGGTTCTTTCTATCTACTTTTTGGCTATTATGATAATGCTACTCTGAAAATTTGTGCACAAGATTTTGTGTGAACTTATGTTCATGTATCCTACTTATATATCTAGCAGTGGAATTGCTGTATCACATGGTAAACTCATGTTTCACATTTGGAGGAATTATTTTTCACAGTGGCTGCAGATTCTACATTCCCACCAGCAATAATGAGGGTTCTAATTTCTCAGAATCCTTACCACACTTTTTGTTGTCCATCTTTTTTATTATAGCCATCATAGTGGGTATAAAATGATAATTCATTGTACTTTTGATTTGCATTTCTCTACTAACTAATTAGGTTGAACATCTGTTGATGTGCTCATTGGTCATTTCTATGTCTTTGGAGAAATATCTATTCATATTTCTGTGTTTATTTAAGCCCATATAGGGTTTCTTGTTATAGTTAGTTGTTAAAGTTTACATTTTCTGAATACTAGAGACTTATCAGATATTTGATTTACAAACATTTTCTTTATTCTGTGAGTTGTCCTTCCACTTTATTGGTTTTGTCTTTTTAAGTACAAAAATATTTAATTTTGATGAAGTCAAATTTATCTGTTTTTTCCTTTGGTTGCTTGTGGCTTTGGTGTGATATCTAAGAAATTACTGCCTAATTAAAGGTCACAATGATTTACAACTATGTTTCCTAAGAGTTTGTAGTTTTAGCTCTTCCAATTAGGTCTTGATCCATATTGAGTTAATTTTTGTGAATGGTGTAAAGAAGGGGTCCAACTTTTATTTTTCCATGTAGATATCAAGTTGTCCCACTTCAGTATATTGAAAAGATGATTACTGAGAGGGGCAAGATGACAGAGGAGTGAATGGAAGTCACACTGACCTCCTCCCAGGACCAATCTGGAGTTACAAGTAAATTGTGGAGAAATCACCTGGAACAAACAACTGACAATAACCAGAGCCTTACAACCTCAGATAGACAGAAAAATCAGCTTTAGCACAACCTGACTGGTAAGGAGTATGGTGGAGACTTGAGAAGGTTGGCTGGGCACCAACGGGCAGCAGCGCCAGGGATATTTAAGTGGCCAGTTGGATTCCCCTGAGAAGAGTGGGGTTTAAACCATAAGTGGGGATCCCCAGCCTACAGGCCACACCCCAAAAAGTACACAGATAACAGCCAGCTGCAAAAAGCGGCAGGGTTGCTCTCTGCCAGACACAGACGACTAGAGATGCAAAGAGCTGTTTAAAGGGCCAACGCATAAATTTTCATTTGCAGCCAGTTACCCTGGGCTTCAGCAAAGGTGGGGGCAGAGTGGGATAGAGACTCTTGGGGAGAGACTGGGGATGGAAGTTTGGGGAGAGAACTGAGGGAATAGCCTGCGGAATCCCAATGCTGACTCATCTCCCATATGGCAGTAGCCATCTTGCTCAGGCAGTCCACACCCCTGAGCAGCAGCAGCCTAAGAGGAAATGATAGCTCCGCCCCCCGGAGGCACTCTGCCCTGGCCCTGTGGTGCTTAAGCCTGACTGCTGAGTACAGAGTGGCAGCCACAGATAGTAGATCCATGGCTAAAGGGGGAGCAGAGTGGACTAGAGACACTTGAGAGACTAGAGATGGAGACTTGGCAGAGAGAAATGAGAGAGTAGCCAGCGGGATCCCGGTGTAGAGTGAACCCCATGTGGCAGCAACTGCCTTGCTCAGGCAGACCACTCCCCTGAGCTTCAGCAGCATGAGAGGAAAGAATAGCCCCACCCACAAGAGGGACTTTGCCCTGCCCTGTGGTGCCTAAGCCTGATTGCTGAGTGCAGAGTGACTAGATTAACAACTGAAGGAGACAGCCACAGACAGTAGATTCCTGGAAGTCTTGAATAGACTATCTAAGGTCAGACAGGGTCAACATCTGACATCATCAGAGGCAGAGTCAGAAAGAAAATGGTAAATACTAGAGGCTACCAAGACGAAATCCACTGTGGCCTTCTCCATGATTTGCAGTATTTTCTTTACTACATGGCCTCTTAACGTTCATTTTAGGTCCATCAAGTTTGTGCATATTAAGTCATTAGATTTTATACTAATACTTTATTTTTCTCCTTTCTTATAATACTCTTAATCTCTTTACAACTTTATTAATACTGGTTCATTTGCTGTTGATAGTGGGATTGCAGGGGGGAGTTATTTTGCAGATGTGGGTTTGTTTCCTGGGCTTTGTGGTTTTGTTCTGGCAGCACCTGCATGAAAACACACAAGGTGTGGTGGGCAGAGTGACCCTCAGTAAACCAACTGGAGGGAAAGACCCACCAAAGAATGATCAAACAACAATCAACAACAAATTATTTCCAGAGAGCCAATATAAATGGCATAAAATGCATCCAAAGAGCAGCAAGAGAGATCTCCTTTTCAAGAGATCAAGGAGACTGCACCACCAAATCTCACAGGTCCCTACCATAGAAGTTTCACACCACAAAGTCAGGAAGTCAGGACAGATCAATTTAAGAAGCAGAAGCAAAAAAGAAGAGTCTCATAAATAATCGGAAGACAAAGAAACACCTCCCCAATTGAAGGGAAAGGAGGAATCCCCAGAAAGAGAACTAAATGAAATAGAGGCAAGTAAACTATCAGATATTGAGTTCAAAACAATGGTTCCAAGGAAGCTCAAAAAGCTCAGTAAGCTCAGAGAGAATTTCAAAAAACTACAGGGAAACTATGAGGAACTTACTGAAAACTATATCAACATGAAAAAGGACATAGAAACTTTCAATAAGAGGCAAGAGAAAATGAAGAATACAATTTCTGAATTGAAGAACACAGTAGAAGGAATCAAAAGCAGGCTAGATGAAACCGAGGATCGAATCAGTGAGTTAGAGGACAAGGTATAAAAAAGTTCCCAGAAAGAGCAAGAAAATGAAAAAAGACTGAAAAAGAATGAAGAGGCATTTAGGAAAATGCAGGACAACCTGAAACGTAATAATATCCATATAATAGAGATGCCTGAATGAGAAGAGGATGAGGAAGGGATAGAGAACCTCTTTGAAAAAGTAATTATGGAAAACTTCCCTCATTTGAGGAGATAAAAAGTCACACAAGTCCAGGAAACACACAGAGTCCCATTCAAGAGGAACTCAATGAGGCCCACTGCAAGACACATCATATTTAAAATGGCATATATCAAAGACAAACAGAGAATCCTAAAGGCAGCAAGAGAGAAACAGGAAGTAACATACAAAGGAGCTCCAATACATCTAGCAGCTGACTTCTCAACAGAAACACTACAAGCCAGAAGGGAATGGCAAGAAATATTCCAAGTCATGAAAAGCAAAAGCCTGCAACCACGACTGCTCTACCCAGCAAGGCTCTCAATTAAAAGGGAAGGTGAAATAAGGAGTTTCCCCAACAAAAGAAGTTAAAAGAATACACCTCCACCAAACCAGCACTGCAAGATATGCTAAAGGGGCTACTTTAAGAAGATGAAGAAAAAGAGTGATAAAGAGAGGAACACAGGTACAAAGAGAAAAAATGAATGAGTATCTATCAATAATAAC